GTTATTGGGTTCATAAGGGTGACTGTGTCTGGGGATAGGAGAAATAATGGCGCCCTTTCACAAAGAGGGAAAATTTTCTTGAACGGGGGAGGCAAGGAATAGACGACGGAAAACGGGGGATAACTCTGGAGCACACATTTTTAGGACGATAGGCAGAATACCGTCAGGACCGAGTGGTTTGGAAACATTCAGATTACGCAAAACTTGGCGAACATTTCTGGTAGTTATAGCAAGAAGAAAAACGTGAATGGGATCGTGAGGGGAAGTAAGATTGGCAGATAGTGGAATTCGAGGTGAAAACCTCGGCTTTATCGAGAGGATCGAAGACAAGAGAGCCAGAGGAATTGCAAATGAGAGGAAAGTTGGAAGGGCAGAGATTACGGGAAATCGTCTTTGCAAGGCACCAGAATGACCGGCTAACGGTAGCCAATGAGACTAGTCGTTCAGCTTTGTGGCGTACGAAGCGTTTTTAGCTCTGTATGGTGAGCGAGCATTTGTTCGCAGCCTGGACAAAACGGTGTCGAGATGTTTAGTTCGCAACTGATCAGCACTCGGTCTCATTTGTATATAATGCTAAGGAAAACGCTAATATTAAAAGTGATAAAACACAGTGCTGGCGGACAGAACTATTTTCGATTTCTTGGAACGATACATGGGCTTGGCACAACAAATAAAATTGTTGACATGCTCTCCTGGAGCTACCTTTCACCATTTTTGAACGCGGACCATCTAAAACAGCTTCCTGATAGCCTCTTTCACCCTGGTATTGCACGTTTAAACCATTTTGTTCGTGCGAAAAACTTACCTTTTTCGGTTAAGCAGATGAAGGCTGTAACACAATAGTCCGCATATGCGCGGAACTATGGCCGCATTTTCTAAGCCATCTGGAAGCAATCTGACAAAGGCTACACAACCTTTTGAGAGACTCAACATTGACTTTGAAGGTCCTCTGTCTTCATCCACACTAAATATTTGCTTGTCATTACCGACGAATATTCAAGTTTCTCTTTCGCTTTCTTCTGTTCTTGTATGAACTGTGCGACAGTTATTTCTTTTCCAACAAATCAAATCTCAACTTTTAGTTTACTTTCTTACATACACTCTGATCGCGGTTCCACATTCACTTCTGAAGAACTAAGACAATTTCTCCATGAGGAGGATGTGGTCGCAAGCAGAACTACAGCGTACAATCCAGTGTAATGACCAGGTTAAACGAATAAACGGAACATTGTGGAAAACTATTAGACTGGCCTTACAGTACCGAGGCTTGGAAACCACTCAATGGGGACGTGTTCCTTCTGACGCGTTGCATTCAATAAGGTCCCTTCTTTGTGCTCAAGTAAACGCCACCCCACGCACGAATGTGTAACTACAACAGGAAATCGTCTTCGGGAATTTCACTCCCTGAATGGCATACAACTCTTGATTCCGTTCTACTGCGTCAACACATTCACCGAACAAAGTACGACCCCATAGTTGGGGAAGTTCATCTTGACTGAACTCCTCAATACGCACATATTCAGCATGAAAACGAACGTGAAGATACGATTTAATACGACATTTGATACCGTTGACTACCTGTCCGGAGCTCGCATAAAACAACACTAACTTGTCTACCGAAGAACCTCCAGAAATACGAAACTGATATTTGTACTGACGACAGAACCTGACACATCGTCTACTACTACCGAGATCGCTATCATACAACAGCGCCCCCCATTGTTTGTGAAGTGAAGAAACATAGTCGTTATCCACTGCACAGTGTCCTAGTCATCTATACTCCCAACTGACTGGCATTCTACACACCGAAGAGAGTGGTATAAACATTTCCGGTTCAAAGCCCTCATGGTTAACCATAGTCACTCCAACATCGGCAGACAGAAGCAGGCATCATTGGACGAAAGGTGCAGGAGTTAGTTTTTCAAGGGCAGTTGCTTTGACTTTACGCCTTGTTGCTATTGTTTTTTGCTCTACGTAATCAGGGTTCATCTTAAGTTCATCTCAGAGGTTCGAACCCCGCCACGGGTGGTAGCTTTGGTGATAGATAATAATCCACTGTCATCTGGCTCGTTACCACCCCTGATCTATTGGGACCGTATGTGATTCTCCACTCTAAGTCTCAGGGTCTGATTGCCGGTTATCTCCAATGGTGCAGTGGGCCTTTGTGGTTTCCACTGCACTTATTCGCAGACATGTAACAAAAAAACGTAATCTAGAGAATGGCATACGAGATAAACAAATTAAAATCTGTGGAAGCAGTAGTCAACATTTCAGAAAACGTAAAACCGAGAATTCCCACTGCGTATTTGGTTTCACTGAAAGCTTCACGAACTACTGCTTTTGCACAACAAGCAACCCATATCAAGCTAATAACCAAAAAGGTAACAGTTAATATTCAATTCCAAGCAAAACCTTTCACCCAGGACGCTTGATGACATCGTTAAACTTTTTCACAGGATATTTTCACTCACCTCGATGTACACTGTTATCAATTGCTTACATATTTTAGAAAGACACTGCAAAGTTACCCAGACATTTGATTTTGTATTTGATTTGGAGAATTGAGTGGCTAAATTAAATAACACGCTTGTAAAGAACAGGCTGTAGGCCGTTATTTTGGTGCTCGTTTGATGTAAGTGCAGGATCCTGTTGATGCACTTACTGAAGTTCGGCTTATGGAGTTTTCTTGTTGCTTTTAAAGATTGGACACGCACAACCCCTTTTGGGAGAAAACTGCTTCGCACATTACACGTGTCCGATTACCTTTCTATGTTAATGTGATAGTCTTCTTCCACATAGAACCTAATAAATTGTGTTGGTGTACTATTGGGCCTTTCTGACACTTCATTCTCGTGTATCAAGTGGTAAAATCGCCTCGTCCTGCTTGTGCAAGGATTAATTAAGTCGAAACTTAGTTTACGAGTGTTCCACAGGTATGGCTCTCAGCCGACCACCCCCCTCCGTCTGGCTGTACGTTTCGCGCACGCGGTAACCGCTAGCGCTACTCCCGACACACTTCCTCGGCATTAACCAACGTGCGGTCTGTATTCAGGCCCTCGTGATAATACAAAAGGCTGGCAATCTACGGTCTCTTTTCACTGATGTTCTCAACGAACGCGATCGTTTCTGAAGTAGTGTGCCCTCCTATAATTAGTAAGCCTGTTTCATTTTTTTTAACTAACTCTGCCCGAGTGACCCAGTTGGATCACTTTTTCGGTAGATCCACCATTTTATCGGTCATATATTCCGCTTATCATTAGTTAGACTTTTTTTCGTGCTGAGATAGAGCCCCATTTACTCGGACGGTGATCGTCTTCTGTGCCGCTTTCCTGTCCGTGCTCACATATGGGTGCGGAACCCGGTCACAGCGAGCTGAGGATGCCATGATCCTGGAAATGTCCAGTCACTGGTTTCCTCCCCGACTTATCCTACATTTGCAGGAAATGCTATCAAACGATGAAATAAGGAGGCAATGCTGTGATATTAAGCATCTCTCCGTCGCCTTAAGTGGTTTGGCTATATACTCCGGCTACCAGCGCCGTGCGCTGGTTGACGTTTTCACCTTGGAGATCAATCGAAAACGTGATTGAGCATCTTCAAGAAAGACAGAGTGCATGGGACTACCGACGGTCTACAGTTTGCGATACTGGACGAAAGCTAGGTATCAGTTTGCACTGAATTCGCTTCCAACCGCCGTGCATGGTCGGCGATGATCCGCGATATCGATGAGGTTTACTTATGCTCTTGCAGGAGATAGTAGTGTAAAAGTGAAAGTAAGTACATAGATTGAAGGACTGAGTTGGCACTTTCAAGGGTTTCGCATTTCAAAATACGCTCGTAGACTGAGGGCAAAAGTAAGTCAATGTGCATATCCAGGTTGACATTATCATTTAACTGCAGTCGTTTCAAAAAGGCATTGAACGTATGGAGTCAGCAAATCGATTGCTTGGAAGCGTCCGGAACGTCGACATTGGTGTCGCATTTGTCTATTCGAAGATAGTGGTTCATGCTTTTTTAGTTTAATACATTGTTACATATGTTTCACAACGAACAACCAAGACCGACAGTCGGTTAATAATGGAAGTGCATGATGTGGAATAGAAATTGGTACAACGTAAGATGTCTAATCAAAACAAGGTAGGCAAACGTAGGGAAAATTATACGACAAAAGTAGAGGTATGCGGGGAAATAGGAAAATATGTTGTGTACGGTGTGAGAAAGCGGTCGTATGTATGTGTAGGTCAACCAATCATCGTAATAGTTACATTTCCCATAGTTGTATGCGTTGTAGGCTGTCGTGCTGCTCGGTAACCCGGTCCAGATAATTCGCAGATGCACCTTTAGCCTTCGCGCAGCCAAGCGCTTCCTGTAAGGCAGCAGCGTTGGTCGAGATAAGCCGGTGTCCAGTTGTACAGTTTATCCGTCTCTTCTGGTAAACCTTGCGGGGTGAGTGGAACACGACAAGGAGCTATGGACTTGTGTAGTAGCGGACCACATTCGTCATGTCACTGTGGTGTTAGCGGGGAGGGCTAACAAAGCTGAAATTCCACCACATCCTCAAGCACTGATCAGCCGCAACCACTCATTTAGCGAGTCCATCTTGTTCACAGTTAATCACGAGTGCGGCCGTTCCCCTATCCGCAACCTGGCAATGCGCCCGGTAGCTTATTGAATGTGATATGAATACATGTTGCTGTGTGGTAGATGTTTCAAGTGATTAGCGTATCACTATGCGGATGTCTGTTCTTGAGTTTCAAACAATACGTCACGGAAATCGTTATTGCGCCACCTTCCATTGCTCAAGTAACCGCTGTTTTGATTGTCGAGACCATCGATTTGCCTTGGGACAAACTGAGCTGTATGTGAGATGGATTTCACGCCCTCCACGGTGGAATGCGTTGCTGTATTTTTTGTTGTTGTTTATTGAGTTACTTCGGGAATATTTTGACTGTTAGGCATCACCTTTCACTGGCCTCTAATTTTAGTGTTCTTTATTTCAGACTGACATTTATAATCTCAATATTAACATCGAAAAGCCTAGGTATGACCAGTCTACCTACGCTGGACGAGCAAAGCACTTTTTCATCACCACCAATCCGCTGAATGTACTGAAAACTTCCAGAGAACTAGAGGATGCGAAAACAATTGTTCAGAAGTACAGGTTGGTTTAGCTTTTACCAGAAACGTGAAAACCCATCAAATTTCCATTTCAGATCGAGAAAGCCCCTTCCAGGAATAACAGAAAATGAGCTGTGGCATGCAAAACAAATTTACGATTCTGCTTTTCACCCGGACACTGGAGAAAAGATGCTGTTCTTTGGTCGCATGTCTTTCCAAGTACCAGGAAACATGTTCATTACTGGTTGTTTGTTGCAGTTTTATAAGTGAGTCACTTCACTATACTGCACAGTCATTTTGCCTTTCCTTAATTTACATTATGGAAATTTGCATTCTTTCTGGAGTTGGAGTTGTTTTTAATGGCGGAAGACTCTACGGGACGTGTATGGGTGAAGTGTATTTATTGAAGTACGTTTCTTATTGCATGTTTATGCATGAGTACATCACCATCGTACAGCATTAAACAGCAGGGTGAGCCCCACTGACCACTGCGTATCTCACCATATTGCACGTATCATTGGAAAGAATGAATACACAAGATAGAAAGGGAGTAGACCGACAAGGATGGAAAAAAGAAACAACGCTATAGTAGCCAACAAAGGGGACACAGTCTAACTGTACAAAAGTACATTGATCAGTCATTCTGATTCGAAAGAAAGTGACAATACGATCACCACTATGCACGGTTCGCTGCCACCTTCTTCAGTGTCTTCAGCCAACTGGTTGCGGGATTTTTTGGACCCCAACCACGAAGATATGAGGCACCTACTTTTCCTAACTTCATTGTACTGCATCGGTGCAGTGGAAGGGTTGTACTATGAGCTTCAAAGCCCCACTGCACTGTTACGGATAGCCGGCAACCAGACCCTGAGACTTGGCATGGAGAATCACACGAGGTCTCAATGGGTCTGGTGTGGTAACGATCCGGACAACAGTGGATTACTGTCTACCACCAAAGTAACTGGTGGTGGCGTACTCTGAATCAGTGCTATCATGCTCTTTCCTGGCACCCATTGAGTAACGTGAGTTCTCCCTGTGGCCTACTCTCAGTAAGCTGTTGGGAAGCAGGCGGTTGCTATAATGCAACCAACGACACAGATCGTTTCGACTTGTGCTCCAGTCGTAAATAGTAAATCATGAGTCTGCACGCAGAACCACAAGCGTTGAGTGTGCAGTCTTTGTCCACATATGCACAACTATTCTGTTGCAGAGTATATCTCAAGTGACAGTTCGATTCGCTTTTCAGTTCTCAAGTTATCATTGTATAACTATCATTCTTATGAGAACTGTACGTAGTCTTAGAATAATCTGCTGGGAGCCCGGTGCAATCAGTTTAGGTAAGTCTGACAATGCAGAAAAATGTAATTAGTGTCGATGATCTAAACCACTTTCCGTTTTCCGTTAGAAGCTTTCATGAGTTCTGTACCGTTTCTTTCTTCCAGATCCGCACCTCAAGTGATCTTTTGGCAGTGGTTTAATCAGACATTCAACGCTGCTGTTAACTATACTAATCGAAGTGGTGACACTCCGATTTCGGTTACGTGAGTTTGATTCGTTTGTGATCACATCAGAAGCGAACAACAAAATGATTTTTGGACATTACAAAAGTGATGGGCCTATCTTCCAGTGAGAACAGATAATAATAAATGATAACTATCTTGAACTGATCATTTGCCAGTGATATTCTTTTGTGTAAAATCAGACTGAAACGAACCAAGGATTATTTGTAGTGCTCAGTAATTTCTTATATTGTTTAACATTACCTAGCTGTTTTTGTCCTGTCCTCGTAATTTGCCCTGAAGGCGAGCTTATTCAGTATTACGCGGATTATGCAGATAGCCACTTCTAAGCTTGTCTCCAGACGCAGTATATTGTGTCCAGACATCAGGAGCAGCTGATAACCGGTTAAACAATGTTTGACATAACCTCAGCGTTTACCTTATCTCCGTTAGAAAGTAACCAGATTGACGTTCTCTGCAACTGGACCTCACTCGACGACTGTTTTGAAAGTATAGCGAATGTGAATCTCTAGTTTAGACTTAATAATGCCTGGAGTGTGATATTGTTCCATTTAGTCCAGTGATGAGTTATTCAGCTCAATTCTCTCAACCATTAACCTTGCACTTCTGTGCCCTGGTTTTGTTTGCTACTCCGAAATATCGTCTAATCAAAAGCAAAACGAATTGAAACATGAGTTGCAAGCAAATAAAAAAGGAAAGTTATAAAAGAAAATTTTACTGGAATGCAACTACGCCACTGACCGCGGCACCTAGTTGTGTTTCCAAACATACGGTCGGCGGATCTCGTGCACTCCAACCCGGAAGCCTAACACGTCCCACTCGACCAAGCCCACTGATCAAGGTTATCACACCTTTTTTACCATGTCATGAACTAACCACCGCGACCAACTTTCCAGTCTTACACGCTTGCGCGTGAGTGCAGTGAAAGGGGTACTTTTACTTTCATGGGACAAACTCCTGCGTGGGGATAGATCGACTTCTTAAATGTCTCTGATGACGGCTTTCTGTACGTTACAATCGGTGCAAAGGTCTGTACACAGTGATATCCAGTTCTTGTATCATACAGGATGTCCGAAGACCGACTGAAGGCCTAGATGTCCAACGTGCGTTTTGACTGGGTTGACCCACATCTTTAGATGACCGCCAAGACGACACCACCAGTTTGGTCAAAAAGATGATAAAAGGGTTCTGTTTATGAGTTCCGTTTCGGGTCGACGGAGAACATGGCCGAACCGTTGGAGACGGCGTCGTTGAAGAAAAGAGAACAAGTCTTATATGTTCGAGCATCGTTATTGTACAGTGGAGTTTGAGATGCAGTCACACTATTTGGTCTCGGCTGTATATCGAAGGCACCAATGGTCGGAGCTTTCTAGATTTTTCGTATCCTCTACCCTGAGGGGTCATTTTCACAGGCGTTCGTCAGAACGGAACAGATGGTGGCACGGTAAATGCGCAGTTCTGTGTGGAGGCTTATTTCACTGTGGGACTACAGTGATTTGCGAAGTTGCGGGAATGCTTTTCTTGCGCAATCGACCCACAGTCTGACTTCGTTTTTAGCGGGGCCATTTGGTTGTATGATAGAATCAAGGTATTTAAATTTGCGTACTAGTTCTGAGAATTGACCGAAAAATCAAACTGAACCTTTTGGATCCGTGAAAATCGCAAAAATCTTGGTTTTTGTGTATTTATCTCCAGACCGATCTCTCTGGCCTTGCACTTGAGTTGGTCGAGAACCAGTTGTGGGTTGTTATGTTCATCCTCCAGAACAGCAGTGTCATCGGTGAATTCAAGATCCACGATCCGATTCTCCTGGCATAGTTGAATGCCGTGGTAACCAGTGAGAGCACGACGCATCACCCAGTCTTTGGAGTAGTTCAACGAGATAATCTTAACGGACGTTAGAGTCAAGTAAGAACTCTTAAGACTTCGTCATAGGCGTGGATGCGCGCTCGCGTTACCGAATAATACGACCTCAATAGTCTTATTTACTTTTCGAGCTTCCCGTCAGTTCCTGGTATGATTCAGAGCGACTCTCGATCGACAGAATCTAAGGCAGCTCGAAAGTCAATGAAGTAAGCTGTAGTTGATTGGAATTTGCATCGGTTCTCGAGGATTTGCCGTAGTATGGATATTTGATCAACACAACTTCTTCCTCTGTAAAATCCACATTGGTTTAGGCGCGTTCGCGCATCCCTTGCGGCCACAAAGCGATTTGGGAGAATAGTGAGCAAAAGCTTGGCCGCTATTTCAATGAGGTTGATTTCCTTGTATTTTACACGGATGGCTTTGTAACTCTTTCGTATGGGGAGTAGGATGCAGGTTGCCCAAGCCTAAGGTGAACTTGGGTATCTCAGATTTGGAAAAGAGGGTTGGCAGACAGATCTTGAATATCGCACATGGGATGTCGTCATCACCTGTGGATTTCCTGTTTTTACATTTTATCGATAGCAGAAGCTACTTCCGGTAGGCTGGGTGGGTCTTGATCTACTTCGTATTGCTCGGCGCTGCTTGACGACACCACACATCCTTGTTTGGGGTTGGGGTGGTTTAGTAGCTCGCTGAAATGCTGTATCCAGCATCGTAGATTTTTTTCGTTCTCAGGCTAGCTACTGCTAGGTGGTAAGTTGTGGTATGAACGTGACAGGTGCCTAAAAGATGCAAATGACTACTGAAAGCTCCCTCGAAATGTGAGCCGCAGTCTATGATAACCACGACTAGACAACAAATGCTGCAACCCAGTGTTCTGAGAAAGCTTGGGCGACTGTTTCGTTAGCCTCATTGTGCAAAGGTACGGCTAACGGCCGTCTGGTGAAATGATCTACGCAAGTAAGAACATATATGCTACCTACTAGGTCAACATGCACGTGTTGGAAACATGAACCGATAGCTGGAAAATTGGACAGTGTGCTTTTTGTGTATTTATGTGATTTCGATTGTTGGCACTGGATGCAGGTACGGGCCCATGTAGTGACGTCACGGTTCGTGTTGTGCCAAACCTAACGGTCACCAACGAACTTAGTGGAGGCACGTATACGCGGGTGGGTGTATAAGGTTTCGAAAACCTGTCATCTAAAGGCTGATGACGCGATTGGCCTTGGGTGGCCCTTGGACATGTCGAACAGCGTGGCTTTCGGCTGAAGGAATGGGAACCGACTGTGGCCGCAGCCATGAGGTGCTATAGAGTTGTTCTACCTCGAGATCGTCTGCTTGTGTATATGCAATAGCTTTGAGGTTGGTCGGGCCGGAGGTACTAAGGTTCAGACTGCGAATGTGGGATAGCGCGTCTGCAACAGGGTTATCGGCACTTGAGTGATGTATTCCAGGTGTCTAGACTCTTTGGGAGAGTATCTGTCCGTGGTGGCGCACAATGCGTGCATGATTAGCTTATGGTCGGTGTAGACTGTGAATTCGCGTCCCTCCCATATGTGCCTAGAGTGACGGATGCCTAGGTAAATAGTGAATATTCCTCATCCAAAGGTGCTATACCTAGATTCGACCGGATTTAGTTTTTCGGAGGAAAAGGCAGCGGGTTGACAAGTATCAGCTTAATATTGTTGAAGTGCCGCACCGACGGCTTTGTCTTGCGCGTCCGTGACTAAAGCAATTGAGGCCGTTGGTTTGAGATATGAAAACTGGGCTATGTTTCTGATGGTCTGCCTCAGAATAGCGAATGCGTCTCGTGCGGCCCCTGTGAAGACCATCTTCGCTTCGCCTTTTAATAGATGTGAGTGGTTGCATTGACTGGGCGCACGGTGGCATGAGACCGATAAAAGTTGACCAACCCGTCGAAACGCCGTAGTTGCTACAATGACGTACGCTCTGGATGGTCTAGTTTGGCTCGCACTTTCTCTTGCAGTGGTGTGGTCCCTATGAAGGTAACCTTATGGCTTAGAATTTCGATGGAGTCGACGCATACTACAGTTTTTCGCGTTGACCGTGACCCCGTGTTGAGACAGGCGGTTGTAAAGAGTGCGTAGACGTGCTGGATGCTTTCCTAGACGAGCTAGCGATCAGGATGTCGTCAGGATAAGCGTATGCAAAGGCCTAAACACTGCATACTTTATCGATAAAACGCTGGAAAGTTTGCGCAGTGTCCAAACAGCACTCGTAGAAACTCGAAAAGACCTGAAGGAACTGCTACAGCTGTCTTGAGGATGTCTGCCCCAGCTACTGATATTTGGTGATATGCCCTCACCAGGTCGATTCGACTGAAAATTATCTTACCAACTAATTCGGCTGTGAGGTCCGTGATGTGTGGAATAGGACATCGGTCGGGCGTGGTCACTCAGTCGAGTGAGCGATAATCTCCGCACAGTCTCCAGTCATCAGGTGACTTCTTTGGGACCGCGTGTAGGGGTGATGCCCACGTACTGTTGGATGGACGGACAATTCTCAAGTTGAGCATAGGTTGCAACTCTGCGCGGGCTACACGGAGCTTGTCTGGAGCTAACCTGTGAGGCCGAGGGTTTGTCGACGGTCCCACTTCGGCGATATGATGGGCCACGTCAGAGATAAAAGACAGCCTGTTGTTTGAACTTTTGGCGCTAGGGTACTCACTGAACAGGCTTCCAAATTCCTGTTCGGACGTGAAGATGGGCATGAGGATTGTCGGTGATTGAGCTTCAGTCAGAGAACCGATAACGGAATTCAACGTGACTCGATCCATGGTTTGTCGTTTACCGGGACCACTAAACCGTGATTTTCTAAAAATTCTAGACCTAGAGTAGCCTGGTGTAGTTTGGCGACGACGAAAGCCCACGGGAAAGAACGACGCAGTCCGGGGTCTAAGGTGAGAGGCTGACTACCGTATGTTGGGATAAGAGTGACATTGGTGGCTTGCAGTATCAGAGCTGTTGGATTAGCGGTGGACCGTTTAAAAATGGGTTTTAACACTGACCTGCGCTCCCGTGTCGACTAAGAAACGCAAATCGGCAATCTTGTCTTTCAAGTATACGAGACGATTAAGAACCGGGGTTCCCGTAGGGGTCATCGACATCACCTCCTGACCTAGCAGTTTCCAT